TGCATCAGATGCATGTGCAGAGCCACGACACGTGGCACAGCATTGGTGCTGCAGTGGCCCTTGTGGCCATGGTGTTCCTCCTCTCCCAGTCCTCGCTCCAAGCCCTGCGGTTCGTCGGATGGTGCCGATGCTGGTTCCCTCCCTCCCATGGGAGCTGGGACACGATGGGCCACATGCAGCTACTGCAGGGCCGAGCAGCTGCGAGGCGCTGGGTTTCTCTGCTTTGGGCTTTGCTCCCTGTGAGCAGGTTCAGCCTCCAATGTCCCTGCAATGGACACAGAGCGCTGCGCCCTGCAAGCGGCCTTTTGGTCTCTCTCAGTTGCAGATCACCACGGTAAACACAAAGTAGGAGTTTTTGAACTGAACGGAAAAACCTTGACGCTGCCCTGCTGATGTTTATAGAAAGTAACAGGTATTGCTTCTTCCTTCCCCCTTCAGCTACTTCTGCAGAAAGGTCCCACCGGGCTGAGCTGAGTCACTGTCCTGCCGCGTTCCCAGCACCCCTCGCCCCTTCCCGGCAGCACGGCCACGGCCACGGCACAGCCCTGCCCAGCACCTCTGCGGGAGAAGGGGAGAAACCTCCAGAAATGAACGCGCTGCCAGTGGAAAAGGGGAAAACCAGTCTGGCTTTGCTTTCACTAGACATTCCCTAGGGAGCGTCGTGCCACCGGCCGGGTCTACCCGGGGTATTTTGCTGGTCGGAGGCACCGGGGCAGCCGTGGCAGCGATCGCAGCCCGCTCCCTCCTGCGCTGGCTGAGCGAGGGCAGATGCTCTCAGCAGCACAGTGCGGTCTGAATCCCACCGCGGAGGCGGCCCTGGGGGTGTCGCTTGGCTGCTCCTTCGCGGGTTTGCTGATCAAGCCCATTCCACTTGCAGGGTGAGGTGAGATCTAAAAATAAATATACAGCTCTACTCTTGGAGGCTGCCAGCAGCGCAGAGGTAGCTCTTTCCCTCTGTGAAAACCAAGCTGTGTTATTAATTCTTCATGCACCTCCACTGCCAGCAGCGAGGGCAGCGCCGGGCCCCGAGTCCAGCCGGGACGTCCGTTGCCCACGCAGGGCAGCACAGGACAGCGCAGCCCTCCTGCAACCCTCCTGCCTCCAAGACACAGATGCACTAGAGAAAAGCAGTGTTTAAAGCATCTTACTGGGGCCCACGAGATGCTCTCCATGCCGTGAGCAGGAGACAGGCCAGTGGCACGGGCTGACCATCCCGCGGACAGGGAAAGACGTTGGTCCCGGACGGAGGCAGGGTAAGCCGCAGCGGCTCCAGCAGGCGAGGGTGGCTGGCCCTCGGTGCCGTACGGCATCGGCGGGATGCTACCCGCGGGGCGGCTGGCCTGGGGTGCCGTACGGCATCGGGGGGATGCTACCCGCGGGGCTCTGCAGCCGTGACACAGAGACCCAGGGAGGGGGACTTGCTCCTCTCCACCTGCAGCCCCACGCGGTGGCATCCCCTGTGGCTGCATGGCCTTTTGCTCTGACATAGCTGCTCCTCTGCAAAGCCCAGGAAAGCAATAACCCACAGGGTCGCCCGCTGGCTCTCCTGACCCATGATAACCGTCTCCTCTACAGAGCAAAACGCGCTTCTCTGCAGAAGGAATTATCCCATTGCAGCCAGGCAACGCAAGGGCAGGTGCCAGAGTCCCCCCACCACTGAGCCCCTCCGCGACGTGCCCCTCCCCACGCCGGGCGACACACCGCCCCGCAGGGTGCCTCCCTCCCCGGCCCCCCGAGCCCCGGCAGCCCAGGGACGCCCGGCAAGCCAATGCAATGCGCTCTGCGTGCGGCCGATTTGCATCAAAGGGATAAGGGGAAACCCCAGGAAACGCATGGCCCAGGCATTAATCAAATCTCTCTCTAATAATAAACCTCCCGAGCAATGTGCGGGTTCGGGGCTGGAGCTCGCAGTGCAATGGCAGGAGCCGAGGGGGACTAGACACCGCGGGAGAGTCAAACGTGAGTTACCCCATGGAGGGGCTGCGCGGCTGCGCGGAGAGATGGGGGTGTGGGGCTTGTTGGTGCCAGGGCTCAGGGCCACAGCGACATTTCCAGAGTGCTGGCAGGGAGCGGAGGGTCTCCCCGGGCTCTCGCTGGAGGAGCAGAGCCACCACAAAGTGCTTCCACACTGCTGAAGACGGTCAGTGCCATGGGGCTGGAGACGAAACAGTCAATGCTTTGGACGAGGGGTCCATAGGGGAGCTCGGGGTGCTGGTCCCTGGTGGGTGCAGAGGCAGAGGGGGAAACGCAGCCGGCTCTGCTGGAAAATGCGTGGCTGCAAAGCCCGGCTGCACCATGCCGGGAGCACCACGCACACCTTGAGGCTCCCCGGGGAGGGGAGCTCAGCCATCGGGCAGGATTTTTCCTAGATGGGGCTGAACACCCGGCTTGGACCTGCCCTCGCAGCAGAGCAGCAGCGGGGAAGGAGCTGCCCAGCCTGCAGCCGCCAAGCTCAGACACCGCCCCAAATCTCCGTTTCCCATGCAGTTATCCCACGTGAAACCCCACCGTAGCTCAAGGATGGCCAGGCTCACCGCCATCCCCAGGGCTCACCGCCATCCCCAGGGCTCACCGCCATCCGCAGGGCTCGCCGCCATCCGTGGGGGTCTGCTCTTTCTTCGCTTTGGGTACAAAATATCTTCAAAGATGCATCTGAGGAAAGCACCGGCCTGAGCCTCGCTCTGCCCTGGGGAATGTCTTCAGTCAGCTCGATAGAAAGTAATTATTTAATTTTATAGCAATGTTAATTGAACGAGTGGAACTATACGGCCAGCATCCCTGTGCAGAGTGGATTTATCCCTGACAATGGGAGGGTTTTACATGTGCTGCCCCAGGTAGAGGCCAATTCACAGCAGGCAGCGGAGGAAGCCCGTCCTCAGCCCCTCTGCAGGGAAGGTGCTGTGTGGGCAACGGCAGGACAGACGGACATGCAAAGTGCCCGACTGCTGCACGCTCCCAAGTGTTAGAGAGAGAGAAGGAGAGATCCCCACCAGAGTACAGGGGGGTTTCGATATAAAAATCAAAGTTTGGCTTTGCAACGGCTGTGGTGCAGAGGCTCCGGCCGAGGCAATGTGCAGCCTTTGGGCATGCGGAGGCCAGCGCCGTGCTGCGGCATCAGGGAGTTTTAAACCTTTCGGGTCCTGTCAGCACCGGCAGGAAACAGCTGTGGCTCCCCGGCACGGCTCCGCAGAGGGATGTGGTTGCCCACGAGCCCTCTCGGTCAGCAAACGGCACATTTCTGCCGCGGCCGCCCTCGTGCTGGGTTAACGCTTCGTGCAGTTGCTCGGTCGCGCCTGCCGCAGACCCGGCGTGCGGCGCCGGCAGGTACTGCTGGGTAGCGGGGGGTCAGCAGGGGCACGGCCAGGGACTGAGACCATCGCTTGGGTTGCCTCCAAGGCCAAACCCTGCGGTGGCACAGGTGAGGCTGCAGACAGAGATATGCAGCACCCAACGATGGGGACATGCACAAAGATTTCAGCTGCTAATAAGTAAATGCTCATTAGCAAGCTAATTCTTACAATTGTAAGTTGTTGGCTAGGTTTTTGTGCTGCTGAGGGCTGCTGCCGATGCCTCGCTCCTGCGCCTTCGGCATCACATCCAGCCCACGCAGGCACAGGGTGCACCGTGGCAGGGGAGGATGGGACGATCCGGGCGAGGCAATGTGCAGCCTTTGGGCATGCGGAGGCCAGCGCCGTGCTGCGGCATCAGGGAGTTTTAAACCTTTCGGGTCCTGTCAGCACCGGCAGGAAACAGCTGTGGCTCCCCGGCACGGCTCCGAAGAGGGATGT